GAATTGGCCTTAGATTAAGAATAATTTAAGAGCATGGTTGAGATATTGAATATCAAATGACTTGAAATAAAATATTTAGAATATCATGAATGTTTGAATCATATACTGTGTGCATGATATCAAATGGTTGATTATGAATTGAGATTCAATTTATTTGGATGTTCGACGCTTTAGATATGCTTACTCAGCTTCATCGCTGAGCGTGTAGTATGTTTTATTTGCTACACGCAGGTAGACAGAATGAGTGAATGGCATGTTCTTGGCAGCGGAAGGGGCGAGACAGTCGTGGTGGATTTATTGAGAAAATAAATGATTATGTTATTGTGAATCCTGTTTAAAAATTCGCTTCCGCATTAAACACTCCGTATTTACTACAATTATGTTTGAATTTTCATTTATGATGAATAAAGTTATTTGAAATGTTTTAAACTATACGATTACCAAGTTAATACTTTAGTTCGGAAAGGGTTGTAAACCTGGACGGATTAGGGTGTTACAGGGTGAATAGTGAGGCACGAGAATGTTTATAAATTTTTGCGGAATAAAAATCGCAGGGATAAAGTAAAGAGCGGAATAAAAAAGCGTAAGGAAAGAACATACCAAATTTACCCTGGTTCACCACAACGTGTGGCTAGTCCAGCCTCCCGAGAGACTCTCTCGAGCTACACTACTTCCGTTAACCTTACGGGTGCTTAACAAACCGTTACAACCTGAGAACTCGAGTCCCACGAGCCTCAACAACACTTGGTTGGAGATACCGCACTCCAAGACTTCAAGCCGAAGGAAAATCCCTTTCCTTCGTACAACCAAGGGAACAAACCTCCCTTAAAGTGTTCACAACACTTAACCACTCAAGAACAAAAACTCTCTTAAAGAGTAGAATATGTGTAAACTAATTTAGATCAAGAACACACTCAATTCCTCAAGAAATGGCTCTAAAAAGCTATGTAAAAAGTTTATGGAATGATGCAATGTAAAACTATGAAATGTGTGAGGAATGGTTGTGAAAAGTAGTCCCAAAAGACCCTTATTTATACCCAAAAATGATGTGTAACGGATGGGAGTTGATTTGGGTTTAATGGCATGATTTTTGGAAATTAAATAAAAGTGGATCTGCAAGAAATTAGTCTACCCAGCAATGTATGGAACTACCCATCGCTAGTAAGCCATTTTTTCTTCAGTTTTAAAGACAACAGTCACCTACCCATGGATGGGTAAGAGCTTCCCATCGCCGGGTGGGAGGTTAACTTTCAAACAAGGAAAGAATCAGCCTTAAATGCCTTACAACAGTCATGCCTTCCCATGGATGGGTAATATCCTCCCATGGCTGGGAAGTCACTTACCCATGAATGGGTAATATCTCCCATCGCTAGGTGGCATGGTTCTGGAATCCCAGATCACTTACCCATGGATGGGTAATATCTACCATTGCTGGGTTGCATGGTTCTGTAATCCCGGGATCACTTACCCATGGATGGGTGATATCTACCATCGTTGGGTATATGGCTAGTCCAAAACCATGGCCTAGCCGACCGGCGCTGAAACCTGACTGAAAAATGCAAAGTTCTCCAAAGTAAAAACTAAGTGTTTAAAACAATTATTTAATGTATTTTATGTAGAAACCAAGTATAAAAACTTAAAAACCACTTCATTAAGGTAAAAACCACGGCTAGCCAAGTTTATGCCGTTTCTCATGGTTTTTGCCAACCGATCAAAAACGAGAGGTGGTCTTTGAAGTGTTTTTATTGGAGAACCATTTGGATATGTCCAGAAGTAAAAACAAATCATAAAATATTAAAAACCACTTGATTGATTTGGACGCCAAAAACCAACGCCGATAACCAGCGTCGAATGCCGGTAACCAACGCCGAAAAAAACAAAGGTTATGGTTTTTGAAAACTAATGATTTGGAAAACCTTTAAATGTGTCCAGAAGCATAAACCAAAGATAAAAACCCAAAAACCATTTGGTTAAAATCAATGCCAATAACCAATGCCGAAAACCAAACGCCATAGCCGAATGCCGATAATCGATGGTTATGGTTTTGGTTAAGCAAGAACCATGGGTTTTAGAAACTTAAAAACCATTTATGAAAACAATCATTTGATGCATGAAAAACATATTTTGTTTTGAGCCATGACGTAGAGAAATTGAATGAGCTTGTTACAATAAAAACCCAAGTCTTTAGAAAACGTCTTCAAAGCGCCAATGTCGCCATCTTTAGCAACGTCAATGCCTTTCTTGTGCTTTTTGTTTCTTCAAAGAACTTTTTCTATCTCTTTGAATCTTTTCATTTTGTTCCATGTTCCCGACGGTTTGTCAATATCAAAACCTAAACGGAAACAAACATTGTCATTAGCAAAATGTCAAAGTGAAAATGTTTTCCAACAATTTCCCCCTTTTTGATGATGACATACCAAGGCGGGGATATGCTGGCCGAGTTGGGTTTTCAAAGAGAGAATAAAGGTAATTCCCCCTACGTCTTTGAAAATAAGATTCCCCCTCACTTGTTGCATATACCCAAACACTTCCCCCTTTTGGCATTACCAAAAAAGCACTTAAAAAAATTGTAAAAAAAGTACTCCTTGAACATTGATGATTGATACTGAACATCGATGTTTGAAAAATGTCTTGGAGGTTATAGACAAATCAACGGAATTGACTATGATGAAACCTTTTCCCTAGTTGTTATGCTAAAATCCATTCGGATAATGCCTTCAATTGCAGCCTATTATGATTACGAAATTTGGAAGATGGACATCAAGACGGCTTTACTTAATGGGAATCTCATAGAGGATGCCTACAAGACACAACCTGACAGTTTTCAAATTGCTGGTCAGTCTGCCAAAGTTTGCAAGCTGCAACGTTCAATCTACGGATTGAAACAAGCATCTCGGAGTTGGTACATACGCTTCGACGAAACCATTTCTAGTTTTGGTTTCGAGAAGAACTCTGACGAATCTTGTGTGTACAAGAAGGTAAGTGGAATGTAATAGTATTCCTAATCTTATATGTCGATGACATATTGTTAATGGGTAATCATATTCTCGCTCTCACTTATGTAAAGACGTGGTTAAGCTAGAACATCTCCATGAAAGAATTAGGAAATGCTAGTTATGTCCTTCGCATAAGAATCTACTGAGATAGATCAAGAAAGTTAATAGGCCTGAATCAAAGTACATATATAGATATCATCCTTGATCGATTTAGCATGTCTAACTCAAAGAAAGGATCTTTACCTATGACACCTCGCATGGTTCTTTCCAAGAGCCAGAGTCATACTCCCAAGAAGAAAGAAGTCATGATGAAGGTTCCATATGCCTCTGCGATTGGATCCATCATGTACGCCATGATATGTACTAGACCTAATGTCTCATTCGCTTTAAGCGTGACCAGCAGATACCTGGGAAGTCCAGGAGAAGCAAACTGGACAGCGGGCAAGAACATCCTCAAGTATCTTTGCAATACTAAAGATGCATTCCTGGTATACGGTGGTGAGGAAGAGCTAAAGGTGCTCGGTTACACTGATGCTAGCTTCAAAACTGACAAAGAAGATTCAAAATCACAAACATGATATTTTTTTGCCTGAATGGCGGAGCTTTTAGCTAGAAGAGCTTCAAGGAAGACACAAACGCCAATTCGACTACAAAGGCTGAGTACATAGCTACTGCCGAGACAGCTAAAGAAGCCGTTTGAATCAAGAAGTTCATTACTGAACTTGGAGTGGTTCCTATAATTAATGACCTTATCTCGTTATTTTGCAACAACACTGGGGTCATTGCACAGGCAAAGGAACTGTGATTTCACCAGAAAACCAAACACATTTTACGACGCTGTCACATCATACGAGAAACCGTAGACAGAGGAGATGTGATTATTTGCAAAGTTGATACTGACAACAACATAACCGATCCCTTGACCAAGCCTTTACGAAAGTTAAAGCATGAGGGTCATAATGGGTCCTTGGGCATTTGACCAATGCCAGATTGGCCATAGTGCAAGTGGGAGATTGTTGGAGTTGTGCCCTGATGGCCTACTATTTATCGTTATTTTATCATGTATAGGCAGATATAGTATGTTTACACATCTAATGCTAATGTAAACAAATATTATATTCCTAGATTTATATTTAAAGATGTTTATCAGATAGTGTTTTTCTACTGATGAGACTAACATCTTGAAGTAAATATTTATCTGAATGTCCATAGTCAAGTATTAACGAGAGTGGGATATCGTTAATGGCATGTGAGACTAGTGAGTGTTGGATGTTTGACTTAGTATCATAGTCAATGACGGTGTGTTTGCATTCGCACATGGACAAATATTATCTGGAGATAATAGGATGTCGGACTAACCCATCCTAGAGATGTTGCTTGAACTTTTTAGTTCATGCTCTAAGCATCTTTAGCGCGACCACAGGGTAACAATCCTTTGACTTGAAGCATTATTGTTTCGGCATATGTGAACCCGCATGCTTTGATGCACTGTCCTAAGCCATACAAAATCAGGATGGTATACAGGCTTTGTTTTGGGTATTTCGCAGCGCGTATTCAGAAACGTAGATTACGTACATAGGATTTGTCACTACTCTTTTTAAAGAGATTAATGTCTTATGGGGCCCACTGATAAGTTATGACTGTGGAAATTGCATGGCCATGCTTAGATGTTTTTATGACTTCTGTTCCTATCAGTTAGACTTCATAAAACAGTGAATGACTTAATGGATACATGTTGGATTTTATTAATCCCTTGCATTAAGTGTAGACATTACGGTAAAAATGTAAATAGAATAAAAGAAAGAGAATGTACAAATAGAACGGGCATACCCGAGCTTGGAAATGGGAAAGAACCGATTTCCGAATACATACCAAGAGTCATCATAAAAACAAAGGAAAGCACAACACAAATCCAAAGAGCCCTACACGGGTCAATAGTACAACAACACTCTAAACAGCATCAAAAGGAAAGGGAATGTATAGGCCACATCCTCCCCACAATTGTGTAAACCATAACCTTGATTTTAGAAATCATACCCTCTACGTTAAGAGGCTCCTGGTCAAACTGGCAAGCGTTCCGCTATTTCCAAATGTGAAATACTGTGCAAGCGAGAGCCACCTTCCTAGCCTTCTTCAAGATGGCATCCCCTCTCCTAGGCGCCTTTAACCAACGGACAGCCCTGTCAATTGTGCTGAGATGACCATCCACCCGTAGCCACTCTTTAATGGCTCCCCATACTATTTTTGAAGCCCAGCAATCAAAGAAAAGATGATCAATTTCTTCAAGTTCAACCCCACAAAGTGCGCATTCCATGGGTATCCCCAAGAATTCCAAGTTTGTTTTTGTGCGCAGCCTCCTCCTAAATGCTAACCACATCGTAAAGGAGCATTTAGGAGGTATGGTTGAGTGCCAGATAAAAGCCATCCAAGGCTTGGGATTGGTCTTTGCCCTAAGAAAATCATAAACCTTGCTTGGAATAAGGTTATCACCAATACAGAAGGTTTGCAAAGCCGCTTCCAAAGAGGAGTTACGGTTGTCAAGCTTTTGTACCAAAAGCTCTCGTACATATGCAATCCTTTTGAGAAGAACAGAGTGTCTTTTCTTGGGCTGCCAAAGCCACACATTGTCATGTTTAATATAAACATTATGCACCCATTTAACCCAAAGGGAGTCCTTCTTAGTTGCCAAATTCCAAAGCAACTTACATAAAAGAGCATTGTTCCATATATTAGCATCTCGTAAGCCTAGTCCACCCTCTCCCTTAGGCTTGCATATATCTGCCCATGCCACCTTGGCAAATTTGCTACCCCAAAGGAAGTCACGGCATAGGGAGGTAATACGATGAAGGACATACTTCTGAACTGGAAAGGCCTGCAGCCAAAAGGATTGAACGCCTTGGATCACCGCCCTGATCAACTCCAACTTTCCAGCATAAGAGAGTTTGAGGGTCCCCCATTTGGAGAGGAAACCATCAACAGTTTTAAAGAGGGGTGCAAAATCAGCTTCAGAAATCCTTTGGGAAGCCAAAGGGAGTCCCAAATATCTAACTGGCAGCTGCCCGCGAGGGAAAGGAGCTAAGTTCTGGCTAGTGTCTCTAAATTTCCCAGCAATGAAGATATTGGATTTGGCTGGGTTGAGTGTAAGTCCAGAAACACTAGAGAGGTGATCCAGAGATTGCATAAGGGTTTGCACTGAGTGGAAGTCCCCCTTTGAGAACAACATGATATCATCTGCAAAAGCCAAGTGAGTGATGCCAAGTGAAGCACAATCCTTATGGTAAGAGAAGACTCCCTCTTTTGCTTTAGTGTTGAGCATTCTAGAGAAGTACTCGATGCAAAAGAGAAAAAGAGTTGGTGCCATTGGATCACCCTGTCTCAAACCCCTCTTACTCTTGAAAAAGCCATGACCCTCACCATTTACCATGATAGAATATGAAGCTGTGGTTACACATTCCATAATAAGAGAAATGAATCTAGTAGGAAACCCCAGGCCAACCATAACTGCCTCCAAGAACCTCCAAGAAACCGTGTCATAAGCCTTAGTGATGTCCAATTTAATCATGCAACTAGGGACAGATCTTTTCACTGCATAATCTCTAACCAAGTGTTGGGCTAGGAGGAAATTATCCACAAGTGATCTTCCCTGGACAAAGACACCTTGGGCTGGATCAATCAACTCAGGTAGCAGGGGGGCCATACGCCTAGCTAGGATCTTAGTGATGATCTTGTAAAGAACATTTAGGCAAGCAATAGGCCTAAAATCCCTTACAGAAGGATTATGTGTTGTTTTAGGGATCAAAACAATCATAGCATGGTTCAACTGTTTTAGGAGCTTCCCGGTGTTGAAGAATTCCAGAACAGCCCCATAGACATCCTGCCCAACAATATCCCACTGGGTCTTGAAGAAGGCAGCAGTATACCCATCTGGTCCTGGTGCCTTGTCACTGCCAATTTCATAAACCACCCGACGAACCTCCTCCATTGTAACAGTAGCCAGGAGGGATGAGTAAGCAGAGGCAGGGACAGAGGGTCCAGTGGTTAAAAATTCATGGTTGATGGGTTCCACATTGGAGGCATTCCCAAAAAGAGCTGTATAGTACTCCAAAAAGCAGTCGGAAACTTCTTTTAAGGAGGTGGTTTTGGATCCATCCCCTTTAACCAAGAAGGGAATTGCATTCTTCCTTCTATTCTTGTTAACCAGAGAATGGAAGTAGCTGGTACACTTATCAGCCTTCATGAGAAAGTCACATTTAGCCTTTTGTTGGTAGAACTCTAGCTCAGCATCAAGGAAGAAGTTGGCCTGCTTTCGCTTGATTTCAGCATTGTCCAGAAGAGCTTGATCATTAGGGTTTATCATAAGCTCCTTCATCACATCAAAGTAAGCCTGTTTAGCTTCCTTGGCCCTGTTAGATATGTGACTAAAGGAGTTGTTGTTGAGAGACTTCAAGGGATGTTTAAGCCGCTTCAATTTGGAACAAAGAGAGAACTGCTTTGATCCCAGAACAGGAGGTTGCCAATACTGGAGGACTAGACCCTGAAAGGTCTCATGCTTGATCCACATGTTAAAGAATCTAAAAGGCTTGCTTCTTCTAGGAGAGGGGCTGCCACATTGAAACAACAAGGGGCAATGATCAGAAATCATATTAAAATCCAGGAAATCACAGCTTGGAACCCAACCATTGTCACCCCATCTGTTGTTGATGAGCACTCTGTCCAATTTTGCAAATTTGTTCCCTTTGTGCCAAGTGAAAAATGACCCTCTGGAAGGTACATCTTCAAGAGAATTAGAGGATCTGAAGTGTAAGAAATCAGTCATATAATATGCTCCTTGACTCATGCAATTGACCCTTTCATTAGCAGCAAGAACACAATTAAAATCACCCAAAACACCCCAGGGTTTGGTACATACAGCAGCAAAAGAGGAGAGAGTAGACCATAATTCCCTCCTAATAGATACAGTATAAAGTGCATAAACAAAAGAGAGGGTAAACTCCCTCTGAGTTGTAAGGCAGTTAATATCACAGTGGATATATTGTTCACCCTTATCCAAAACACTACAATAAAAAAAGGAAGGATTCCATAAAAGCAAAATACGTCCACCAGGCATAACATCAAAATTAGTGGCATACTTCCAGGAGGGTAGCTTGGCATTCACAAAACCCTCCAGCTTGGCTCCCGATAGTTTAGTTTCAAGAATGCAAACAAAATAGACACCAAGCTCCAAAAGATATTTACACAAAAATTTCTGTTTAGAGGACCTGTTCAGTCCTCTAATATTCCAACAGAGGATTTTCATTTGTGAGGGGGGCCCGGCCCCTTTCCTCCCTTCTTAAGATCATGCTTCTTACCAACAGGAGCACCCTCCTGCACTTTCTTCTTTCTGTTTTCCAAGCCAGCCCCACCAACCCCAGTTCCAACAGGTACTTTACTCAAAACACCAACACCAACAGTGTGAGGTTCTTCCAAGTTCTTGGAAGTGTGTGAAGAAGAAGGAATAGATCCCCCTTTTGGTTCTATATGGCCTCCAACTCCTTTGCTCTTGCCAATAGGAACCCACTCCTTAGAAACAAGCTTTGTTTGCACCACTGGCTTGTCCAATTCCTTCTTCTTAATCAGTTCCAAAGCCCTGCAGTTGAATGGGCTATGATTCCATGTGAGGCAGTGGAAACAGTACCGAGGCTCCTCCTCAAATACCACTGTCTGGACATAGGTTTTTCCCATGCATTCCACCTCAAACTTTGTTACAGGTTCTTGGGAGAAATCCACCTCAACAAGAACCCTACAAAAGCCGCTTTTCCCCAGTTGTTTAGTTACCAAATCTGTACGAAGAGGTTTACCCACTTTGGAAGCCAGCATTCCAATACCCTCTTCTGACCACAGTTGCATTGGGACATTATGTAGTTGAATCCAGACAGGCAATGTGGTGAACTCAGCAAAGTCAAACATGAATCCATGAGAGGGAATTTTCAATCTAAACTCTTTTCCATAAGCTTTGCTTCGTTCCATACCAAGCACTTCATACCGGTCCTTATCATTCTCAAATTTGAGCACCACCCAACCCTTGCAATGGGGTATGATTCTACAAGGAGTATTACAGCTTTTGACAATGGCATCAACAGCCTTAAGCCCAGGGAAACGCCCAGTGAAGCAGACCACAAGACAAAAGCCCCAAATGTCTTCCACTGGTTTGATAATAGAGTCTGGAATGCGGAGGACACCTTCGCCAACATCGTAGTGTTTCAGCGTCATACCTTGGTCAGGGTCCCTATTACCTTTGAATAAGTCAGCAAAGGTAGTAGGTTTAGGAGTAATCTTGTCTGATTGAGGCATTTCATCGAGCACATGGGGGGTCACTAGAGCAGAAGTTATCCCCACCTGAGCAACAGAGTCTACAACCTCCTCAACCTGTTGGGGCGAATTCTCAGACGTGGAGGAAGAGGTCTGAGCCTTCTCCTTCCCCTTCAGTTCCGCAGCAGCATCAGTTTCCAAGCTAGTCTCCTTCGTAGTCTCATCTTCATTCCCTTTCTTCTTGGGACTCGTGGGAACCTTCTTCTTCGTCTTCTTACCACTCTGGCTTTGCCGGAGCCCATAACAGCAGAGAAACTTCAAGAAAGGAAGGCCAAAGACATCAGAGAGGAGGATACAAGAAGAAACTTCGTCTTCTTACCACTCTCCAGAATGATTTTTTAAGTGTAGACATTGATACAAAGGGATACAGTTACACCGAGTATGAGTCGTGGAAAGGTTTCGACGATGCAAACATCTTAACTTATAATCTGGGGGCAATAATGTCTTGCTAGATACCTCTTATTGCTTATAATATAGGTGTAGAGCCAATACTGTGGCAGCTCTATAAGTGCCTATACGGGTTACACACTTTGGACAATTTAAGGTGTAGGATTAAATAATGGGATAATAAGTAATTTGTATATTTGTAAAATCGTAAAATAAAATATTTTGAAATATAATATTATATATATAAATATTTGGTTATATATATATTATATATATGTGCCGAGAACTTGATTTCACAAGCCTCTAATCTTTCCACCGAAGTCTTGAATATCACAAGACTTTGGATTTCAATCCAAAAACTTGAATCATTTCAAATTCAAGTTTTTACAATTTAAAACATAAACAAATTGCACAGCGGAAATGACTCTTCGTACAAGAGCAGATATGCTGTAGATTACAATCAACTTATAGTGTATGGCACACCAAACTCTCCAAACTTCAATTGAAAAAGATTTCTCAAAGAGGTACTTAAAAAATTGAGTACGAGGATGATAGATTGGATAGAATTCTTTGAATTAATCAAAGGATTGATGAATTGAAAGTATCTTGGGTCACTACTAGAATAAGTTGATTTAGCGTGGGGCAAAAACCCTCACAAAATAGTAAAAGCCGTCACAAAAGGAAATTTTGCATCGACCTTGCGTTGGAATCGGGGCCGTGGCTAATCTGCTTGATGCTAATTGTTAGTGTAGGCCAAACCCTCCCTAATTTGTGTCGGCCTACTCCTCACAAGTTTTCATCGGTCTTACCCTCAGTAATTAGTGTTGGTTAAGCCCACGGTAATTAGTGTTAGCTATCCCCTCGCAATTATGGAGACCACTTTGTGTCGATAAAGCCGTTGCTAATTTGCGTCGAGATTGCCCTCACAAAATGAAACACCCCAGTATTTGTCTCAACGTCTAGTGTGGAGGAACTCCTTTCTAAAGTTAAAATCTTACTATATACAAAGCTAATAGGCAAAAATGAACAGTAACTTTTCCCGCCGAATTCTACAGTAAAAATGGGAAGAGTACAGAGGGAGCGTAACCGAGAAGCTAATACATACATCTTGGGAGAAGCAATTTCTCGATCTGCGCTTTCATTCTCCGCCGCATATAGGATGTCTCTCTAGGGTTTCGATCTATCAAATTCTAGATCCGTGCTTTCATTTTCCTGATGGTCTTCGTCTTCCCTCCTCCTTCGCACCCTCTTTGCTCACGCTCGCTGGAAACCATCTTTGGGACTAGGGTTTCGAAAGTAACCACATCTAAAACCATTGGATTTTGCTAGGACAAAGGCGGTGACGGGCCAGGTATGTACACAGCTTCAATTAAAATTTGGTTTGATTTTCCATCCAAAAAAACAAAAATACTGAGATTCATCTTCTATGTAAATATATAGCCTTTGGTCTTGTAGTTCTCCCAGCAAAAAAGGATCGGGAACATAGGGGCAAATTGTTGATTCTGTGCTAAGATTTGGAACAAAGATATAGAGATTTATTTTCGATGCAAGTGTTCATCTTAGCCTTTTCTTTCAATTTCTTTTGTTGGTAGATTAAAATTTTCATATTTTAGGTATAATTTTTCAGATTTTCCAGAATCTTCTATCAAGCAATGGAGGATGTCCAAACTATTTTACCTCTCTCTATTTTTTTTCTTTTCTTGAAATGGTTAATTTGAGCACTCTTTTTGCAGTGGGTGTGGGGTCATTGTTGAATTATCTTCAACAATGTTTGTCAGGTTAGAGTATAAAAATTTGAATGAATGTACAAGGACAAATCTCTGAGGAGAAAGCTCAAGAGTAGAGTGATTATGGAGCAAACCATGTAAAATCCAAGTCCTTTCCAAATAGAAATAAAGTAAAATATTTTAGCTTTTAAGGATATCACAGCTTCACTTTTATAAAAATATTTTTCTACTTTCTTTGCAGGTGTTGCCCAAGAAAGCGAGGGATGATGAAAGTCTAACTCCATCCTTGACGACGATTTAATTCCATCAACAACTGCATGCGACGAGATAACACCTATTTCTTCTTTCTTTTTCAAATTATTTATATTTAGAGTACGATAATAAGATTTTTGGTACTTAGAGTTTCCAAAATTTAAAACTCTAGATTTTTCGATGGAGAAGGCGACCATGATGAGGACAGGGGAGCCAAACAGTAAGTTGTAATTCTCTTCACAAGATCGCACACCGACTAAGATTGATTGTCTTAAAAAGGTTAAAATCCATGACCAAATAGATTTTTCTTCGTAATTCTTAGTTTAAAAATGTGGGCTTCTCACATAGTTGGGAAGTCAGTTACTTCTAGAAGTTAGGATTTAATTTTAATATAATATGTTCTTGCTCATTCAGATTTTTGAGAATAATACAACTAAAATGAGGAATAAATTGATGGATGCTTTGCTGTGTATCCTATAACAGGTCCAATACAATGCCCCATTTAATTTTTGATATTTGTTAAGCCATGTGTTGTAATTTTTTTAATTAATGGAATTCCAAGGTTAATTCATTTTTTATTTCTAAATTTGACATATATTTTTATTCTATATCATCTTTTCCTTTATTTATTATGACTTCTTCTTCCCGTTCCGTCCCACCAAATAAATAAGACTAATATTTCTTCACTTTTTGTCATTTTAGACACTGCTTGAAAATAGAAAACCTAAAAACCTTGATGTGGAGCTTTGCCTTTCCATCTTGAAGGCATGGGGCCTTGGAAAAGGCAATAAAAGCAGGGCTTTTGTGAGGATAATCCATTGTAATCAAGGTAACAAAATTACAATATTAGTTTAATTTTTGGTGAGGTTTTATTATTTACTTTTTAATGGGTACTAGATTGTTGTAGTTTATGGGTTCTTAGCTGTTACGGTTATCCATACATTATTTGTTTTTAAGCAAGTACTGCTATAATGTTGAAGCCTAATTGATATAAATGTTGGATTTTTATTAAAAGAGTGATGAATTAACTATGCATAATCACAAGCATTCCATGTGTATATAATCTTTTTATATATTAGATGCATTACAAATCTTTGATTAGTAGATGTGATATTGGCTCCAAATCTATCATGTACTTTATTTTCCATCTCTAGATTTGATATGTTGAAATTGTTTTTTGGTTTACCTATATATAATCTAAACAATCCAAATAATGATGAGCAACCCTTAAGTACTGACCGGGTCATTCCCGCCAAACCATCGAGTAGTGAGTTTGGGTATGGACCGGGCCAAATGGGCAGATTGACGGGTAGTGAGTTCGGGTATGGACCGTGCCAAGTGGGCTGACTAACGCGGTTGCAAGCTTGGACATCTTCAGATCAAATCATGGATGCATTTCTCCATAAAATAAAAGTGTTGTCAAATCTCTCTCATTGCTCAATGTGCTTTATGTCAAATCCATTTAATTTATACCTTTCCTATTTCTAAGCATTTAATGTATGGATTAATAACTTCATTTTTCAAACTTTATGTCAAATCAAATAAATAAATGGGTAGTGTATTAATATGAACCGCGTGCATAGTTATATTGGTACGTGGCTCGATGCAAATTTTATGTCAAATCAAGATAAATAAATAGGCAGTGTATTGATATGGAACTGCGTGCGTAGTAATGTTGGTACGTGGCTCGATGCAAACTTTTTGTCAAATCAAAATAAATAAATAGGCAGTGTATTGATATGGAACTGCGTGCGTAGTAATGTTGGTACGTGGCTCGATGCAAACTTTATGTCAAATCAAAATAAATAAATGTGTAGTGTATTGGTATAGAACCACGCGACATTGACACTTATTGAATCACTTGGATTCTTATGCTACGAGCTGTTGGGGTCTTTATTATTTGATTTTATGTTATTATTGTAATTTAATTTTATCATTTTTTTCATCAATGCTTTCCCTAATTATATAGTTTATAATTAGGTCGTGCAACGCACGGGTACGAGTCTAGTATAATAGAATATTAGCAAGGGTATAACCCATGCAATATTTGTTTTTTAAAATACCGAATTTCATATCAACAAAATATTCATATTGAAATGGATGGGAATTCAAACATATTTTAAAATAGACAACATAAACATAATAAACCCTTTAATATCATTCGTCACAAAAATTCATAAAAATCACTAACACTTTAATTTCATGATCCATACTTGAGTGATACGAACAATTCGGAGCTTATAAAAACTACTACATTGCAAAGCATAATTTTAATGTCAAAACATTTCATCAAGAGTGAGAATAAATATTTTGCGCCTTATAAAGAAGAACGCCGTTTCGAACCTTGAAAGTCATGAGCACTCTCGTCAGAATGATGATGATGGCGCTTTTTTTTTTATTTTTTTGCACCCTCAATAGCTGCATGACGTGATACTACCAGTTCCATTGACTTCTCCATCTCTGCAATTTTTTCTTCTTGTGCACAACGCTCCTCCTCATGAGCTAAACGCTCCACTTCTTGAGCATGACGCATTATGTGATGCATGACGGTAAGTTCGGGTGTTAACACTCGAGACTAGGCTGCTAATTGTTATTAAATGTTATGTTGAATGATCATTATGATGAACTATTATTGTGGCGAATTATGAATGATTAACCTACTGATTAGTATGATTATTGATTAAATCATGATTAAAAATGGATATAACGATTATGAAAAAAATGATGTATATTGTTAAGGATATCTAGAAGAACTCTAAGATATACCCACTTGTATAATGATGATGATTATTAAGGATATCTAGAAGAACTCTAAGATATACCTCCTTGACCAATTCAATTTCGGGGTTAAAACGTACGTACGGGATCCAGACCGGATATCACCCACCCGACAGTTCACTATTCGGTTGGTACGTAATCCAGATGACTCATAGGGTGGATTATCGATTCTTGTGTTCTGCATTAAACTATTTATAGTCTAAGGGCCTGGTTAGAAATGTTGCCTTAGACTAAGAATAGTTAAGAGTTTTATGAAATGATTTGGCCTTAGATTAAGAATAATTTAAGAGCATTGTTGAGATATTGAATATCAAATGACTTGGAATAAAA